TACTTATAGACTAGATACAGAAATGCTTTATCAACAGAATGTCTGCAATTGTGCTGCTGCGTTCGTGGTTTCCATTTATGGCATGGATATAACTCTCGTCCAGTTTTTGGAAAATTAGTTTTTGAAAAACAGCTGTTTTACGACAAAAAAATGCGTTGGAGCGCCGGACAAGTGTTGCTGTAAACACCTGCCAATATTCGCCAAATTTTTTGCGAAAAATTTAACTTTCAAAACATTTAGAACAAAGTTGTCTCTTTCCAATGGAGTGTCAAACGCTTGTCTGTCTGGTCCAGTTGATGCAAAATTAATGTTTGAAAAACAACTATTTTGCGTCAAAAAAATGCGTTGGTGCGGTGGACAAGTGTTGCTTTAAACACCTGCCAATATTCGCCATATTTTTTGCGAAAAATTAAACTTTTAGAACATTTCGAGCAAAGTTGTCTCTTTCTAATGGAGTGCCAAGTGCGATGTACCAAGCAAGTCTATTTTCAACTTTTCGTTTTGGTCCATAAACTAGTCAATTAACGAAGTAATCAGGCACAAACGATGTAATTACCAATTTAAATGCGACACATTCGGTTGTAACAGAACCAAGTAAAAATAATCGTCTCGACAACGTTGGTTGGGAGAGTGAAGTTGTCAATTATTATCCCCTGCATAAATGCTGCATATGGCGAACGTGGCTTTTTGGGTTTCGTGCGCATGAGAATCGATACAGCGATATCATTTTATCGTTTTTTTATTCTTAATAGTAGTTTTCGTGTTGAAAGACACCTCGGACATTTTCCCATATTTACCACCAGCCAGTGAACCAGTTTAACTGTTGAAAGTTGCCAGTAAACAGAAGTAGGTGCGTATAAGTTGCAATCACTTCAGCCTCATGTGCTTTTGCCTTTATATAACAATTACGTGTGCGAAATTGCTTACATACTACTCTACTACTTACCACCATATGCTGAGAGATGTCCTTAAACACTTTCAAGCAATAGCTCGAATTCTCTTTGTGGGTCTAAGCCCTAAACGAGATAAATCCAGAAATAGATGGACTTGGACTATCTCATTTCCTGACACGTCTTGCAATCGTTTAAAAACGAAACGGTCCAGTCAATCGACCATCCTAATTACTACCTGTTTTTTCCAGCAGTAAAGCAGTTTGGTTTCTATCAGCTCAAGGACCAGCTAAATTTTGCCCATTTTTGTTCTGCAAAAGTCGTTCGTCCACTTGGGCGCTATCGTTTTATATGACTTTAGAAAGACACAAAGGTAAGTCCCTTTTAGTCCCTTTTTCGCGTCACTTTTTTATACTTACTGTGACTGTGTGACTACATGGCTGGTTAAGGAGGTGTAATTAATATACACAGTGAACCATGTTACACAATCAACACCAAGAGTCATTATTGTCAAGTAGACAGTTGTGTATAATGGCTGACCTAGGTGTGATCAATAAATCCACATTGTACGTATTTGAATGGAAATTTTGCCAGAAAAGTCGGAATGCTTTGTAAACAAATGTGTGAAACGGGATTCTTGCAAGCAACACAATAGTTCAGTGGGATTAATGGGTGATAGAAAACCTGCCTAGTCATAAATAACATGGCAAAGCATTAAAACACCTTCCCACTGCGTTTATTTAAAAATCTATACCTACATCGCTGATCTATTTAAAACTCTAGTAGGAGTATTCGATTTTAAAACGCAAATATGCCACAATATTCAGCAAAGTCTGATTAAACCGTTCGTAAAACTGATTGGTTTCTCATTTTCGGATCGTTACTGAATACACTGTGAGCCATTTAGGCCGCATTTCTCGCGTTTTCGGTTGGCAGAATTGGCAATTTCCCAGGGTTCAGCGATCAATGTCACGCGCCAGCGCTATCGCTGTCCTCTCTGAATCCCCACAGCGTTCAGTTCACAAAGTTCGTCGTGAATCACATGTGCGAAACAGCCCCTTTGTTAAAAGGCCACCATTGCAGACCCGCAGCGACAACGAAAAGTGGGGCGCCCGATGCGCCCCCCGTTCTCACCCAGAACAGGCGCAGTCCTATATTTTGTATACGGTATGTGGTTGCCACCCCTATTTGCCCTTACAACGACCCTTATGGCTCTTACATTATTGATTTATGTATGACCCGAAATTGCGAAGAAACCTCGCAGTTGAAGTGCTTTAAAATTTTCTGCATTTTAAGCTGCATTTAGACTTATATATACAAAATTGGATGGAAACGGGATAATTTGCTCTTAATGCTGATGTATTCCGCATGAAAGCAAAGCCCTTGAAATTCGGCACACTTTTCGCATATTTTGATGGGCGCCGCTGTAGTTTAGCCCTATTTTATGATTTTACAGTCAAAACTGAGCTTTAATAAATTCGAGGGTCAAATTTCCCCAGCACTCATTGAGTAATTCGCTCAATTTCTATTAAAAAACAACTGGCTTCCAGCTCTTGACCTTTGGAGGGTCTGAGGACGGAAAAGGACAGAAGTAGGTTTTCTAAAGCGGTGTCTTTCAACACTAATTGAAACAGTTTTAATTAAATATTAGCATAAATTTATATTTTTGCTGATTCACTTAAGTGAGTCATCCTCACATTTGCACGAGCTAAAATGTGACCCTGCGAGCGMATAGAATAAATTAAATTATTCATGTATGCAATRCACCGAATACAAACAATCCTCAAATGCGAGCAAATCAATGTAAAGCGAAAATTTTCTCAACTCCGTCGATAGTTTTAGGTTTAGTTAGAGGTTTACTCGAACCACCAGTGATTAAGAACGATCGATTGACTGATAGAAACGAAGACACTGCTTAATGCAGCTCTACGCAAAAAGCCGTTGGAGCCGACGGAATATTCGTTACAAGTCGAAGAAAATAAGATGGAGCCAAATGAAGATGGAAGTGAGTGCGCACAAAATCTGCTACAGGCTGCAGAAGATATGCTAGAATCAAAAGAAGCGCGAAGTTTTGTAGAAGAAGGCAGTGCGAAGAGTGCGGAAGAGAAACCTGTAATTGAGCCAAAAGAGCTGAAGACATCAAAGAGTGTTCAATGAGCCTCAAAATGGATGTGAAGCTTTGTAGACATCGGCAATTTAATGAAGGAAAATATTGAGGTCGAGGAGGTGATTTGAAAAACGTTGAAATTGTGGACATTCCTGCAGTAGTGGAAGAGCCAGAAGATGAAAATCCAATAGTTCAAGAACCGAAAGTTGATCGAGAAGATGGAATTATGTAGGTCACGAATGAGCAAATTGCTCAGGAGCATTCAGGCGGAGCCCGATGTGGCTAGTTCTGATCAGAAACTGTCCTTAGATGAGGAAATAACTAATTCAGTTGTCTCTGAAGGAGATGCTGTGGCTAAAACTGATGACTCTT